CAATTGGAAAATCCCCTCTATGGATAATATATATTCCAGTTGACCGAGCATAATTTTAATTGTTTTGTTCTGAAGTAAAAATATCCACAGAGTTGTTCGCCCTATTCAGATATTCACGACCAAGAAATATTGGATTCTGTTTAGGATAGGTCCTGAAAGGAGAAGGAAGGCTGGAATGCCACTAGGCGTCTATTATTGAATTCACCCGACTCGATAGTACTAATTTTGGTAACATCCATCCAGTGCCAAATGCACTGAATGGGTAAGTCACCCCTCCCTAAAACGGACTATGTACTTTATTTGCTGGGTTACGGGGGCATTTTACCAGAGGTCTAGATTGTATCAATCTAGCCTTGTGTGATTCCTGTTGAATCATATACTGCGGGGCGCAGGGTGGACGATTTCAAAGCGGACTCCCCCTCCCCATTCATTAGATAGAGAAGGTCGCCAAGATTTCGCGATCCGCTGCCGAACTTATTGCATTTCAATATTTTGCCTTGAACAGGACTCAAACCTCCACGCTTTTTATCACGAGATTTTGGGTCTCGCGTGTCTACCATTTCACCACCAAGGCATCTTGAAAGTGAATAGTATTCTATAAATATGATATCTATCTAGTATGGTGTATTGAATATATGACAAAGGTGGAGTGTTGAAGTATTTCTATTGACCGGTCATGTCATATAGGCCTGAGTCGGACATCTAATTGCTTAGATTTGAATTATCCCGAGGATGCCTTATTTATTAATATTATATCAAAAATATCAACAAGATGGACAATCAAACATATTTTTCGATTCAATAGAAGTCCAACCAAAGAGGTGAATAGGGTCCCAAATAACAAGAGATATGTAAAAAGTAGGTTAGATTTCTCTTATTCTTAATCCTAAATTGAATGTAACGACGCAGGGATCCCTATGGAAACATAGTATCTATTTAGATACGCTCGAATGACCCCTTCTCATAATGAGAATGTATATAACCTTATTCCGGCGTGGTCTGGTATGGTATGAACTTATAATCATGGAATCGACTCGATCATCAGATTATAATTTATAAGTTCATAACCTTAGTCCATTCTCATTTTGGGCGGAACCGATCAACTAATTCTTTGATTCTAGTTAGTAAGAGGGATCTTTAACTAAGAAATAGATTCTAGAAGCTAAAAAGGGTATCCTGAGCAATCGCAATAATCGAATTCATTGATATTCCTGGTATAGTAGATGCTATCACACATACAATCATATACAATTTGATGGAATTGGGATCTTAAAGGAGATATTCTAAAATTTAGCACGTGAGGGGTTATTTCTTGGTTTCGTCCAGTCATTAATAACTTGATTATTTTTAGATAATAGTAGATAGAAAGAACGCTCGTAAGGAGTCCTATGGAAACTAAGAATATAGGCATGTCCGCCATCCACACCAGAATAAATGGAGTTTTTCAAACAAAAAAAAAACTGATAGTGTAGGAAGACCTCCTAGGGATAAGAGACATAGAGCTAAAGAGAGAGCCAAAAAAAATATCTTTTGTGTATAATCCTACATAATCTCGAATGTTATCAGTTTCGGTACGTAAACCAAATAATATAATGCAAGCAAAAGTTCCTAGATTCATGGAGATATAGAACATCATATAAGTTATCATGCTCGCATATCCACCATTTGAGTCTCCAACAATTATTCCAATAATTACATATCCGATTTGACCTATGAACGAATATGCAAGCATATGTTTCATGCTTGTTTGAGTAATAGCAATGAGATTCCCCAATATCATACTAAGAATAGCTAGGATTTCCAGAAGAATATGCCATTCATTTGATGAGAAATAAAAAGGAATAGCGAAAATTCGAGTGGCTAAAGCTGAGGCAGCTACTTTCGAAAGAACAGAAAGAAAAGCAACGACTGGAGTGGGAGCGTCAGAGTCGAAAAGAGGATTCCTCTCTTCTTTCTCTCATTCAAAACCGTGCATGAGACTTTCATCTCGCACGGTTTCTAAGTGATAAAAGTAAAAAAAAACTCATCTTCTTTCTTTTTGATTACTTTCCTCGCGTATGTATAAGATCGAATATATATATATATATATATATATATATATATATATATATATATATATATATATATATATATATATATTATTTTCATTGTTTATGGATAGGGCTAGACAAGATATTTGTAAATTTTGATTCAAACCGACAAAATTTGGATATTCATAACTATAAAGCAAATCAAATACTAAAATGCAATATCCATAAAAACAAAACAAATCACAAATATTCATATTTTTAAGAACATATATTTGATTCAGTCCGTTATATGCATATATATATATATATATATATATACATAGATTTAAAGAATTATATATAAGTTATATATTCTAGTTTATATAAGTTTTACAATATTTTTATGTATTAAATTTTTTTTTATTAGGTATTAAAATTTAAAAGGTAAATTAAAGTTTTATTTTAATAATATATACTATTATATACTCTATTTAGTTTTTTCATTTATTTTTAAACATTTTCTTCTATTTACGGATCAAATTAGATATTCGTTAAAATTCTAAAAAATTTCAGATATCCGAGACACCGAATATCCAGGTGGTTACGTATCAAATTGACATGAGTACCTCCAAATACCTTGATATTTGATATGTGCCCACCCTTATTTACGGATACAATTTGATTTTCTTTATGTGAAAAAAATCCACTAATATCTAGGTCTAATTTATTTTTAAGTAATTTTATTTTAAGATTTATCTTTCATGTGTTATTTTGAACAAAATATTATTTCATATAAATTAACAGTATCTTTATCTATTTATCAACTACCTTTATATATTTTTACATACACATATATGTGCACATTGATGGAGCACCTACATAACTAAATATTCACCACAACTAAAGTATCTAACTCTTTTGGAAGTTGAAATATTTTATTTCTTAATGTTTCTTTCACTATCGACCAAACTGTGGTGAAATGATATGTCTTAATAATTTTATTTTCCTTTCCTTAACTATTATCCGTTTAGAAACTATAATATGAAACCATTAGTTTAACATCAGAACTATCTAAAATTCATATAACATAAAACCAAAAAATTAGTATAATTTTTAGTTATCATCGGAAAAAAAAAACATCTAATATTTGAACTGAACAAACCAAAATAAATATTGATTTATAATGATAGTTATATTTTAGGCGAATAAACCTGGAAAAAAAAAAATTAAAATCGAATCAATATCTAGATTAACACAGATTTAATGTCTCCTTATTAAAAAAAATAACGAAATTAATAATAACATCCACGCATTGCGAATATTTACCTAGTAACCATATGTTAGATAGGATATAATTTATTCTTTAAGCACTATAAAATAGTATATCTAATATATTAAAGAGAAGTCATAACTTTTTTAATGCGTGATATTTTAAAATGGACGATCTACTAGAATTTATCACATTACATTATTCAGTCATTAATTAATAATTTTAAAATTAGTTATCTAAAATTTTGGGCTTACCAAAAAATTTTATTGGACTAAAAATAATTTGATAATCCATTAGATTTATAGATATTATAACATGACACATGTTTAAATTAAATAGATATAATTTAGTATTCTAATAGTACATCTTTATAAATTAATTATTTATATATTTGTCGATGTTAACTTTTAAAATTATATAGTTTATTTTTTAAAATAACAAAAATCATCATTTTCTAACAATGATTAATCTATATTACCTTAAACCAATGAAAACATTTTTAAGTTATACAGTTTATTTTTAAAAAATTACAAAAACTAAATCATTGATTATTTACTCCATAATATGAAGCTAAAAGTTTTTTTTTTTGTTAAACTTTCTAAATTTGAGGAATGTTACAATGTCTTTAAAGATGAGAGTATAACAATATTTTACCAATCTTTACATATATTTACGACTTCAATAATGAAATAATAATCCAAAATAATATATATAGAAGAAGATACAAATACATGTGAAAGTTTAAAACAATCTATTCGATAAAAAAACTAATATATGATGAAACTATTATCTTTTAAAAATTGATATACACATCCCATATATATTATAATATATATCAATTTAGAAGTGAAAATAATTTTTTTTTTAAATTATAAACAAAATGTTTCTATAAAAATAAATGAAAACAAACGCCCGTGCAGTTGTACGGATCAAAGCGCGGTTGTGCGGATCAAGATCTAGTTTCATTTGTTAAAACCGGAGTTGTTGGGCATGAAAAATAAAGTACAAAATAGGTGATTTGTAAAGTACTAACCATCGTGTTTTAATTTATTGACTCCATTGATTCAAACAGCGTGTCTGATGGGGAAACCCGTTTTTCTCGATATAGTGATGCTATCTTATGTTGGACGACAAAAAAAGATCTTATTATGAATTTAGGACATGCTGATCTAGACCAAGAATCTCAATTAAGATTTTGAGTTAGATTTAAGAGAGAAATAAGAATAAAGAATGATTTAAACCCAAAAAATCTCAATTTAGATTCAAAGAAACTCCAATGAGAGACCAATGAATTTTAGAAATGGTCCAAGTGGAGTTTCTAGGTATATCAGTTTGGTTATATGGTTTTTATGTTTCTTTCCTTTTCACTATCCTAACTGATTTCTCTATGGGCTAATAAATAATCATGCAAGACCAATCACAAGTTATATTATGAAGGCAGAGACACACTTTCATTTCTGGACCATACTTTGCTCAGCTTCTGTAATCTCTAAATCCCAAAAGTTCTGCAATCAATTGCGTTTCCTATATCCCTAGTAGTAGATGCAAACACAACTCTAAAAGTATGACATTACAAAAAGATACTTTGGTCTCTCAAAAGTTCCTCTTCTCCCACTACACTACTTTTGAGTTCTAATATGGGGAAGTTACTTCTTTAGGTGTATTTCTTCATGATGGATCAAATGATATGAACTTTTCCGTCGCTGATCATCACTTTATTATCATCTTGCAGTTTCTGCATAAATCCACAATATGAATAAACTGTATAAACAAAAGAAAAGAGAATGAGAAAGCTATTTCTTATTTTTTGTGATGTACCCTCAAGTAGAGCCATAATCTCATCTGCAGAGAAACGAGAAGCTCCAACTCCATTGTTGTTCACTATAGTCTCTATATCTGCAATAGAAATATCGTCAAGCCTGTTTGTCCTCATGTGCTGCCCAAACACTCGCTCAAACGCCTCAATCCTCGCTGCAGAGATCGCTGCATGTTTAAGTTCAGTGTCTCACTTCATCAGTGAGCTCTGGCTGAATTCGATGCTTGGCATAGTGAATGTACTTCTTTAGGAACTTAATCGTCAGAGTTTTCTCATTTGTTTGGCCTCTTTTCTTCTTCTTCCCATGCAACATTCTGTTATACTTAACAAACACTTCACTTTCACCATCGTCCTCTCTCCCGTACGGCAAGTTCCCATCTGGTCCTGCCTCACCTTAGCACACTTAAAAGCCAGAGATGTTTCAAGTCACTAATTGTGAAATGTTTAGTACACCAGAGAAATACGATGTGTATGCTACCTCTATCGTTTTGGTAACGATGCATGCGCAGGACGTGTTCCGATATCATGCTATCAATACCAGCATCCATTTGATCCAACACAATAAACAGGAGATCAAAACGAGAGAGCAATGAGTCTGGAAGTCCAATGTTCTTTGTTGGCGTCAATGATCTGTCATACTGCAGGCACAAAAGTAGGACACTGTAACAAGGGATACTTACTAGTCAATAGAGTCAACAGATCACGATGAGTTCTATGCAAACTTACGGTTCCATATATGGGATTTGCTGCTGCAACCACACTGCCCCTAGCATTTAGTGATGCATGGATACCAGCTTTGGCGATTGTAACAGTCTGTTGTTCCATAACTTCGTGTATAGCAACTCGGTCCTGATCGTTCATCTTATCTAACTCGTCGATGCACACAATACCTTTATCAGCGAGGACCATTGCACCAGCTTCTAGTCTTCGTTCCCCTGATGAAAAAGAGAGAGGGAACTGATTTCCATGAGAGAGAACTTTGTCCACTTTCTAAAATTGGTTTGAAGTTTTAAGAAAAACAGCAGAAGGATTATATGTGTGTTTTACCTGTTTCTTGGTCAGACGTAACAGCAGCAGTTAACCCAACACCAGAAGAACCACGGCCTGTTTTTGAAATCGCCAATGGTGCAATATTCATTATTGCTCTCAGAAGCTGAGATATGGCGACAGATGGATCACCAACCATCATCATGTTGATGTCCCTGAAAGCAAAAGGTTAAACATGCAGATTCTTGCAGTGAACTGAAGCTAGCATTAGTATCTAAGCACGATCTTACCCTCTTAAGTTGGTTCCCTTCTTGAGGTTCTTTTCCATACCGCCAAGCATCAGAAGTATTACTGCTTTCTTTATCCAAGCGTGCCCATAAATAGAAGGTGCTAAAGAACGAGAAAGGAGATCAAATGCATCGTCTCTTGCTGCAATCTTTTTGATCTCTTGTAAGTCTCGCGGGGTGTATATAGGTGCATTTGCCTCTTTGTTGAGCAGAGAGATATTATTGGCTATGAGGATAGTCCTACACAGATAAAGCTCGGTCAAGATTACGACAATGAAAAAACCATCTTGAAACTTAAATGTTTGTATGAAAAACACGCACCTAAAGACTCAGTTTACGCTACCCTTGCTTTTGCCAGGAAGAGCTTTGTAAATGCCAACAACAGCCACTCTATCTCCTGGCTTGCATGAGTCAACCAAGTCATCCTTAGCAATGACATCCACGCTTCGTGGAAGCTGACCAGGAGTTTTCAGGCACTTCTTGAATTGACAAGGTCTGGTGATCTTTGTATTTGCAAAGCCCATACTCAGTCACCAATAAGTTACCATTATCATCCTGAAAAGGCCAAAATAAATTCAATAACAAGCAAATCTTCCAGTAAAAATAAAAGGTGAAGGAACAAAAAGCCATGTAATTACCCTTGTAGGATAGACAGAGCCAGTGGGTAAACCAGCGTGAGACGTTATGTCTCGGTACTCTCGATTGGTAAATTCACCGGTAGAAGGACAAAAATGTACGCTTTTAACAACCTTTGGCCTCACAAGAGAGCCTGAAAGCAAGACATTTTAACTTATCAGATAAACAGGAAGGAAACACAGAGATTTCACTAATAAATCAATGCAGAAGATTTTTATTAACTAATCAATGTAGAAGAGTAGTAAAGTGAAAAAGGGGTTACATTTGGTGACAATGCCTTCAACACAGACCAAAGATCCAATAAAATCAGAGAGAAGCTCTCTAGGTGTGACACGGCGAGAAACAAAATGACCTTCAAATCCAACAAGTACTTGCTCTCCTTCTTTCAAATATTTAGGGTCAATATTGCGTGTAACTTCAGTGGCAGCGTTACAAAAGGACTGCATATACTCAATTGGATTCTTCAGTATCCTACGCAAAGCAAAGCAACAAACTTCATCCATATATTCACAAAAACCCTAAAAATTGGCAAACTGATCGAAATTCCTCTCACCTAGATGAGGATTCTGTTGGACCAATTTATTAAAGAGTAAACTAGGTGAAAACCATAAGAAGATTACAAAATTAGGAAAATAGGAAAGAAGGAAAAGTTGTGATAAAGTATTATGGTACAAAGACAAAAATAACCTTCCAGCTTGGTGACTCCACTTTCGGATACTAGGGGTCTAGGATTAGTGTCTGACATAATAGATTCATTTAAATTTGGCACTACAGTGAAAAAAGATTTAGTTTAGATACTAGGCCTCTACATACTTTTATAACATGCCGTTGCCTTTACCGGGGTGCCGAAAGGGGTGAAATGTTACTGATTTTGTTACCAAACTTCTTCTTTCATACAAATCCAACTAAGTAGAGGCAGCGGTGGTTCCGGCGGAGGGGAACCTCCCCTAAATTTAGATATTGGTTCTAGCAAAAAGGAAAAGCTTCAAGTTTTAGGTAAATTTCTATATATTTTAGTAATTGAAATCTTCTTCTTCACATGATGGAATTGGAAAGTTCTTCAACTCCTATCTATTAGAATATAATATTAATGGTGAATATGGTAAACAATGACCTCAAGATATCTTGTTCAGCCATCTTTAACCGTTTCAATGGTGTAACTTGAACTCTGAATATTTTTTCACTTTTTGTGTGTGTTTTTATTTTTGCATCGACAAGAGTCAAATTCACGCCTCATGTTTTTACCGTGAGTACTAGAGAGATCTATCTACCTTCTTGATTTTTATCTTGTTTACTACTAAGATGTCTTCTATCTTCTTGAATATGCTTAGAAAAGCTTGTTTAAGCGTTGTTGAATTAGTGGTGTTGAAAAAAGTTATGTTGAATTAGTATGACCTTTGTGTTCCATTAAAACCTTAATTTGTACAGTTTCATGTTCCGGAAGAGAGGGGTTAGTCCATGCATCCCATATTGGCGAGGGGAGAGGAATGGCAGCCTTAGGCCAAACATTGGAAACATCACAACTGGATGGGGGGGGGAGAGAAGTCGTAAGAGGGATTGGGACTGATGAGGGTGTGAAGATTTCTAAATCCAAGTTATATGTATATAATCTAATTTAAGCAAGAATGTCTTTTGGGTGTGGTCTTTGGTTACAAAAAAGCTTAACCTGGTTAAGTTTATTTTTAGGTGGATAATCTTTCATGTAACCCATGAGGAATTTTATTTATAAGACCGGTTACGGAAAATCTTAGCCTTGTTAATTTTATTTTTAGTTTGATAATCATTCATGTAACTGATAAATGATTGTTTTTACAAAACTGGTTACAGAAGAGCTTAGCCTGGTTAAATTTATTTTTAGATTGATAATCTTTTTTGAAACTGATGATATTTTCTTTTTACAAAACCGGTTATAAGAACTTTTAATCTGGTTTGCTTTACCTTTTGGCTTGTTAAACTTTCTAGTAGCCAATGATGTATTATATTATCATGTAACGCAATTTCCTTACTCTATAAGTTGTTAGATAAGTATCCGGAAGCTTTTGCAAGTGTAATTAATCTCAAATTTTAGACATATATCGACCTTGTATTGTTACAAAATATGGAAACTTGCTATTGTAATGAAAATTTTCTTGTAACCGACGAGGGATGGTTTTTACAAATCATGTTATAAGAAATTTTAACAGGGATTATTTTCCTTTTGGCTTGTTAAACTTTCTTGGAACCAATAATGTAATATATCATCATGTAATAAAATTTTTTTATAGTAATGTTGTTGCTTATAACATTTAACTTTTGTAAGATAAGCATTCTAAAGCTTTTACAAATGTAATTAAACTCAAACTTGAGAAATATATCGACTTCGTTATGTTAGAAAATATGGAAACTTGTTATAGTAATGAAACTTTCTTGTCATATGAAAGATGGTTTTACAAACCAGTTATAAGAAAGTTTAGCATGGATTGCTATTAATGTCAACAAAGTCTAAGGTATTAACCCAAAACACACAAGTTTGTGTCAATCATAAAGTGTATAATATCGTCACACTATTATACGGTTATAGTTTGGCTTAGTTGACCAATATTAGTCAGTATCTCGCTACATTTTTTCTTAGCCGGCTAAACTGATTACCTAGAGCATTAATCTTAGTAACATTACCCTCTGTTAGACAGCCAACATTTATGCATACAGTTAGAAATAAAATTAACGTGCTATGGTTTTGAGTGGCCGGCTCAAAAAAAAGTTATATAATCTAATAATCAAGACAGAACCAAACAATTATTAACACCAGATTAAAGAGTTATACGATGCTTGGACACTAACAAGACAAAAATCAATTATGGTATTAATTTAATATTAGCTGGTAATTGATTGAAAAAAACAGTTAATAGAAACACAAGCAAACTAATTGTGAAGCACAAGTTGACAAGAAATAGAATCTGAAATACATCAAACTAAACTTTCAGATAATTAAACACAGAAAAATCAACTTCTTTCCCTGAAACACAACCAAACCTTAACCAATAAAAAAAGAAAAGAGACACAAGCAAACATAATTAAAGCACAAGATAGCAAGAAATTCTCGAGAAATCTGCCAAAAAGGTAAATTTTGCACAATCTGCCATAACTTATGGTATGGAATTTCTTTTAACGCCGGTGAGTTCTTCTCCGACGGCGAAAATCCTTTCCGGCAATTGATATGGCGGCGCCTGCGTTTCTTCGTTCTCCACCATACATATCAGTTACGGAGAATAATAGAATATTTTTGTAGATGAGAGAGAAATCCCTAATGTGAAATATTCTAATTTTAAATTCAATCCTAAAGCAGTGAAAAGATATGCAACCTGACAAATAGATACTCAAGTGAATAACGTGATAGGGGGTTAGATATTTGCGTATCCTAATACAAGATTTTACCTACATGTAGAGGATGATGATATATTTGTGCAGTAGGGGTAGCAGGGTAAAAGATGCACTTCAAACAGTGACGATTTAGAAGGGATTGGTATATCGCTAAATATGGAGAAGTTCTTTGGTAGGACTCCTAATTTCTCTTTATTAAAAGCCAAAAGGCCTATTAATTTAAAGGAAATGGTGAAGAGAATTGGCCTACGTGTATAACTAAAAGCCTTTTAGTTTTAATGAACAAAATGGGACTTGTCCCACATCAGGTATGAAAATTGAGATTGAGTGATATATATGTTCTCACCCCATCACTTGTTCAAACGACACACAGGAGAGAACATGGTCGCCCCCACGCGCGCGCCGCCGCCGGCCGGCACGGCGCTGGCGCGTGCGCGTGGATCGTGGGTCTTGGGTCTTGGTAGAGGGCCTCCGGCCCAATAATTCCACACAAAGTAACTGGCAAAACTCCATATGAATTATGGAAAGGTAATTTACCATCGTATAAATACCTCAAAGTGTGGGGGTGCTTAGCAAAAGTTGCAGTACCACCACAAAAAAAAGGTCACTATTGGACCTAAAACAGTGGATTGCATCTTCATCGGATATGCATATAATAGTAGTTTTTATCGATTTCTGGTACATAAATCTGAAATATCAGATATCCATGAAAATACAGTAATGGAATCAAGAAATGCATCTTTCTTTGAAAATATTTTTCCATGCAAGAAAAATCATTCAAAACGAATTCGAGAAGAAAGAGACAACGACAATGTTTCAGAAACTGAGACAAACATCGAGATTTCTACAAATGATATTTCAGAAAATGAAAAAGATGAACCTAGAAGGAGCAAAAGAGCTCAAAAGGAAAAATCCTTTGGAGAAGATTTCTTAATGGCATTTCTCGTAGAAAATGTTCCAAAAACTTTGGCAGAGGCCATGGCTTCACCAGAAGCTCCGTTTTGGAACGAATCTGTCAGAAGTGGATTTGATTCTACCATGCAAAATTATACATGGTACATAACAGAGTTACCACCTGACTGCAAAGCATTAGGAAATAAATGGATAATGACGCGAAAACCTGGTGGAAAATACAAAGCTAGGCTTGTAGTTCAAGGATTCCAACAAAAGGAAGGCCATGACTATTTTGATACATATTCTCCAGTAACGAGAATAACATCAATAAGACTGATGATAGCAATCACAACCTTGAGAGACCTAGAAATCCATCAAATGGATGTAAAAACCGCTTTTCTAAATGGTGATTTAGAAGAGGAAATTTACATGAAACAACCTAAAGGTTTTGTCATTTCTGGACAAGAAGGCAAAGTATGCCGACTAGTAAAGTCACTTTATGGGCTTAAACAAGCTCCTAAACAATGGCACGAAAAATTTGACAGTACAATGATGTCAAATGGTTTCAAAATTAATGAATGTGACAAATGCATATACTACAAAACTACCAAAAATGGGTATGTTTTGCTATGTCTATATGTAGATGATATGCTCATTATTGGAACCAATAAAGACATAATCAATCAAACAAAGAACATGCTCAAAGGGAAATTTGAGATGAAAGACTTGGGAGTAGCAGATGTAATTCTCGGAGTTAAAGTCACAAGAAATTCAAAAGGAATTACATTAACCCAAGCTCATTATGATGAAACAATATTGGAGAGATTTAAAAATTACTCTAATAGCACGGCGAAAACTCCGTTAGATCCCCAAATGCACTTGACGAAGAACTCAGGGGAAGCGGTTTCACAAAATGAGTATGCACGTGTGATTGGAAGTCTCATCTACTTGACCAATTGCACAAGACCAGATCTAGCGCATGCAGTAGATATACTGAGTCGATATACAAGTAATCCACGTCATACACATTGGAAAGCTATAACGAGAGTAAATTACCTGCACTACACCAAAGATTTTGGGCTTTACTATGGTGAAGAACTAGCAGTTTTAGAAGGATAAAGTGACGCTAACTGGATATCATATTCTAAAATCTCAAAATCCACAAGTGGATATGTCTTTACACTAGGAGGAGCAGCAATATCATGGAAATTTACAAAACAAACAGTTCTAGCTAGATCCACCATGGAATCTGAGTTCATAGCCT